GGGAAGCTTCCCATCACAGACCAACACCAGGTAGGAACTTTACTTTAGATTTTTCGCAATGATCTGAGTATTTGCGTAGATATTTTGCTGTGAGACTTTGAAGCGTTTTGATTTCTAGGTGTAAGACGAACGTGTGAATCGAACGGGAGACCTGGCGGAGCCGTTCGGCGATTCACATGACAAAGCAGTAAGGACTACAGATATGGGAGTTGGTCTTCTCATTTCAGGTGTGCTTTTTCTTCCTTTTTTCTTTCATTGTTCTTCTTTTCTTGACCATTTGTCCGGACAGTCTTTTCATCGCACTTGATCAAACCCTCAAAACCTCCCCCAGGCATCATCACCTTCCCGCAACCATCCAAATCCAAAAATACGACACCGTCCGCAGCGCAAGGTTGACCTTGCCTGAAATCGGGATGGGGATGGTTAAGGGACGCTTTAGTGATGGCAATGATTTTCTTGGTTATTTCTGGGCAGTCCTTTCTTGCCATATCTGTGTGTTGTCAGTCATATTTGGTCTTTTTTAGTCGTGTTTACCGTAGAAGAAAAAACAGTACTAATGTTTATTATCGTGTTCAGTGTAACTGCAAACAAAATGATAATACGTGACTGTGAGAAAGGAAAGACAGTTCTCTGAGGCAGCAATATTTCTTAAGAATAAACTTATTGGGCTGTATCGCCAATTGAATCACTTCGGAGACAAATTACAGGATGGAGATGTGGGTCGACGGCTGGTGGACATGCAGGTGAGGTGGTCCGAGAGACGGGCACAATAGGACAGAACAAGGACAGATGGATGCAGAAGCAGACAGTTTGGAGGGCAGGCGATACGGACAAAGCTGGGAGATGATGTCGAGGACGTCGACGGGCAGGTAAGGGATATCCAGGGAATGAGAGCAAGACAGATGCGCAAGAGCGACACTAAGGGGCACAGACGTAGAGGTGATAGGGGGGGGGGGGCAATCATACATGGTAAAGGTAGGGATAGCAAGCGGGCATACCAATGTAGACAGTTTTTCCACTGCGTAGGCCCGCTTATCTATCTGTCTCGGTGTGTGCTACCTCCCTCCTCCAACCTCGTGCCTTCACCACTTCTCATCCGCCCGTCAACTTCCGCCTCCATCCACCCCCTGAACATGCCTGTGTCTGCCCTCCATTCTATCTGCACCTGATTCCACCTATACGCCTGTCTGTTCGGTCTGTTCGCGTCTCTCTGCACCCCTGCCTGCATGCCTCCCAGCCCGTCGACCCACAAGTCCTTCCTTTTGTCTGTTTTCATTGGTATCTTGCCACTACAGTACACATGCTTTCAAAAACACGAATCAAAATTGCTGTTCTAGAAAGGATCAAATCGACCTCACCTCTCTGTCTCGCTTTCCTTCTGTCTCCTGTTGAGAATAGCACCTCCAGAATAATTTCCCCAGCAAGGATCTTCATCGATATTAAATGAGAAGGGCAAATAGTAAAAAGCCAGGAGGAAAACACATGAAGGTCTGTTTACGGAAATAAACAAGAAACTATGATAAGGACTTAAATGGAAAA